GGTAAAGCTAACATGGTAGCTGATGCTTTAAGTCGTAAGTTTTCCATGGCTAATGTGATAGTGGTGACTACTCAAACCCAATTGTTGAAAGATTTTCAAGATTTAGAAGTTGAGTTTTTTTTGCAAAATAAGCAAGGAGGGATATTGGCAACTATGATTACAAAACCGGTATTATTATATCGCATTAAATTTGCCCAAGTTGATTAAGATTCATGGGAAAAAAAAAATCAAGCGGGTAACCCAAAAGAGTTCGTTATTTAAGATGATGGATCCCTATATTTAAGTTGAACACCAAACACCTGCAGGATTATTGAAATCCTTAGAGATACCTCATTGGAATTGGGAACATATATCTATGGATTTTGTGAGTGAATTACCGAATAGTCAGCATGGGAAAAATACAATTTGGGTTATTGTGGATCGACTCACTAAGGTTACACATTTTCTACCTATTAAGAAGACCTAGCTGAGTTGTATGTGAATGAAGTTGTAAGGTTGCATGGTGTACCTGTTAATATAGTATCTGACCGGAACTCTAGATTTGTGTCAAAATTTTGGAGAAGCTTATAACGAGTCATGGGGACTGAATTAAAATTAAGCACTGCATTTCATCCACAAACAGATGGGAAAACCGAGAGGACTATTCTGACCTTGGAGGATATGCTTCGAGCTTGTGTCTTGGATTTCAAGAGTAGGTGGAGTATCAACCACTACAAGTTAGGGATGACCTAACTTATGACGAAGTACCTCTTCACATCATTGATCAGAAGGAACAAGTGTTGAGGTTCCGAGTAATCCCATTTGTTAAAGTGCAATGTTCACATCATACTCCAAGAGAAGCAACATGGGAAAAGGATGATGATATGAAGGATAGATATCGTAAACTCTTCAAGTTTGATGGTATGTAAGTTTCGTCGAAACTTAATTTAAGGTGGGGAGATTGTAATACCCACTATCTTAGAAATAAAATTATATCTATGTTTATTAAATGTGGTCAACAAGTCAAAGTTTATCCAAATTTAATATTGGATGAAATTACTAAATTGCCCTTCCTTACCCTTAAAGGTTAAGAAAACACTTTGGTCTTTGGATAAAAATCTCTTTTGAAAGAAGATAAGAGGAGTAGACTAGAGAGATAGAGGAAAAGAAAAATCTTGAAGCTTTGATCTCCATCTTCTTCAAGCTTAGGTCTCAAGTTATTGGAGTATTCTAGGTAATTTTGACCTCCATATTTCACTCTTTTTTTAGTTGGGTTTAACATTTGAGCCCTAAGATTGATGTTTGAAAATATTAGGAAATTTGACAAGGAGTATTTGGGTGAGCTAAATAGCTAGGATTTGGGTGTTTCAAGTAAGTGGTTAACTCTTCTCTCCTTATTTTGCAACCCATTTATATAACCTATTTTGAAATCTCTACTACTTTGGATACCCATTTTAGGGTTAGTATGAGTTAAAAATATTTTAGACTATGATATTTTTTTGGGTTTGAAACGGTAAGCTGAAGTCTGGAAACTGGAATTATTATGTATTTTGGAGTTTGGACTAAATTGTGTTGCGAACTGTGTTTTCGAAATAAAGGTTTAGCTAAATTGCTGACTGAAATTAACACTATGTGTAGTGATGGTTGAATGGTTTATGGTTGCTTTGCTGGTAGCAGTTGGTCTAGAGTTTGATTTTGCTTTGCTAATATGGCCTTATGTTTGTTTTATATACGTAATATACGACTTATGTTTGTTTTATATATGCTTATAAAATGAATTATTTGTTTAAAGTGAGACTTGAACTCTTAACCTCATGCTTATTAATTTAAATTCTTTCCAACTAAGCCATTTCAATCCCTTTGAAATTACTTTGGTTTAATAAACCATTCTATGATTTTTAAAGAGTTATGTACTAAGAAAATTATTATTTTGAGAATGGTTTATACATCGCATATTTCTTAGTTTGATAAACTTATTATCTATTTTGGAAATAGGTACTTTGTTATGTGATTTTAAGGAAATGATTTTTGCTACATCGGGCTATTTGATTATAAGAACTATTTTGATCATTTGATCAAACTCATGAGGCAACCTACATTTTGTTGTTTGTTTTGTTTGGCTTGGAACGTTCCTAATTGCTCATTTCGAATCGTCGAACTTGACTCATCCCGAATCGGCGAGTCTTTTGAATTATTTGTTGGAACGTTCCATCCGGCTCATTCTGAATCGTTGAGCCTGACTCATTCCGAATCGTCGAGTCCTTTTGGACCATTATACCGATAATGGCATGTGCTACAGAATATAATAGTGGTTGTAGGTTGCCAATGAGTCATATGTTAAGGAATGATTTGTGCTTTTGAAAGTATTGTATTATGAAATATTGTTGATGCCCATGTAGCTAAAGTTTCTTGCTTTGTGAACTTGTGTATAGTATGATGAAAGTATATTATGACTTTGATATAGTTTAAAGATCGAGTTTTGCATCGAGTTATTACTCTAAAGCTTTTTGTATTATTTTGGGGTTACTTGATCCGGGGTTGAGAGGAGTATCACTTACTGGGCAATAGCTCATTATTAGTATTTTATTTTCTCATGTTTCAGAGTAGTAAGGACATGTGAATAGCATGAGCACAAGTGGTGGGGTCTCAAAGGTGACTTTTGAAACTAGGAGACTTAGTCCTAATTTTGGAGCGTATCACGGATTTTGTTTATTTTGGATATTCCTTTGACCCTTTGTATCTTTGGTAACACATTGTGTTTGGTTTGGTGCTTCTGCTACATTTTGGACATACTACTCTTGATTGTAAATATTTAATAGTGGTGATTTTGATGAGTTTTTGAGAAGAACTAGTTGTTTATATTTTGTCATATTGGGTCGAGGAATTATTATGTATTCAAGTGTTGTTATGAAGGTTCTGAGAGGTATGTGTGGCTAGGCTTTGTATTGTTACAGGTTTTCATGTAGCGATACGGCCGGGTCATGTCCTAGAAGTGGGGCGTGACACCTACACCCAAGAAAAAATGTGCATACAGCTAAAATAGAAGACAACAAACCTGATCTCCTGTCTTCATCTCAAATCCTCCAATAAGTATTTGAATATTCTCACAGATGTCTCTAGAACTACTAAAATGTGGGCATTTCAAATATCTCAGCAGAATACTTAATCATACTCAAATTTTAACCTGCTTGAGTGCTTGCAACTGAAACCAAAGAATTATCGAATTACTTGAAGGGAAGCATGAGCATTCAGCTCATTTGCTGCAATCAAACCGCCAACTTGTTTACCTGGACATAACTGAATGAGAAATATTGTTGATAGATTACCAAACAGAGCATGCTGGATAAATAGAATTTCCCATGAAGAGGATGGCCAAGAATTAGACCTTAAAAATAACTGGTGTACCTCTAAGTGGACCTTGAGCTACTCTTCCTTCATACTCCAAGATTCGTTGGGATGCCGAAACGGAATTGGTTGTCGTTGAGGAGTAAAGCGTCCAAGTCCTTGTCGAAGAGCTTGGATGACACGGGGCCCTCAAACTCATTGAAACGAAGGTCTAAAAACTTGATAGTAGGCATTGAAAGCACAGCCTTAGGGAATTCTCCTGCAAAGCGGTTGTTACTGAGATCCAGCTCCCTAAGGATAATCATGTTTTTGAAGCTCCGGGGGACTGCACCGCAAAAGCGATTGGAGTTAAGGTGAAAGAGGGCGAGATCAGAGAGGAGGACAAGCTGAGGGACGATTGGACGAGATGCCCCGCAATGTCTGCGGTTACTGCTGCTACTCTCAACTTCGTTTAGTCCCTCGCCGACAGTTTCGAACTTTGGAGGAGTCTCCATCAATACTTTAGCTTGAGTATTAACACCTTTGGCTGATTTAGTGTTGATTTAGCCCGGCAATTTCGAACGAGATGCACCTTTGGCCGATTGAGTATTTGAAGGATCTATTGCATTGTACTGCCTTCAAATACTTAGAACTCAAAATCTTGCTTTGAACGCCATCCAGGCCATTGGAGCAAATGGGAAGAAGACACCCATCATAAATGGACACTTTTACCCCTCTTTTTAACGTCAAACTAACAACAAATTAACAGAAGGATTACTACTGGAACAAATCTAAAAGTCAAGTGTCTTTTTCGTCCAAATTAAAAGTCAAGGACCAATTTTGGAAAATCGTAATAGTCGGAGGACCATGGTTGGAATTAACTCTAGTGTTGTATTAAGGTAATTAATTACCATTTTACTATGCAATTGACCACATAATATTTAAATAATTTTATTGTTGATAGGATTTCAAAAAAATAAATTAAAATGATGAAATCAAAACAGGAATGATTATTCATGGCATAATGCCGAAGTAGTCAAAACACACTAAGACAACATGTATTATTTAGAGATTTTTGAAATATCTCATTGGGGACAGAACTTTGGGTGACATTGAAAAGAGTGGAAAAATAGATTTATGAGAGGAAGTAGAAGTTGGAAGTAAGAAGTGTGAGGAAATGTAGTATTTTTCATGGTGGAGTAAATATAAGGTAATGGTGATTGAGGTTGAGTCTTGTTGGTATAGAAGGGCCAAAAGGTTTAAGGTTCAAAGAGGGAGTTAATACCATCTAAGGTCCTCCGAATATAGTGATTTTGTCACGTTTAGTTCTAAACTTTCAAATTGACCATTTGTGGTCCTTTAACTTTCAAATTTAACTATTAATGGTCCAAGTTAATCACTCATGGTTCTTCAAGTTTCGAAATTTAACCAATTGTGGTCCTCTTAAAAGGACCATGGTTGGTTAAAATTTAATAGTTGAAGGACCATGGGTGGTTAACTTGGACTACTGATGGTTAAATTTGAAAATCGAAGGACCACAAATAGTCAATTTGAAAATTTAGGACTATATGTGACAAAACCACTATACTCGAAAGACCTCGGATGGTATTAACTCTTCAAAGGGGTTTGTCAAAAAAACAAAAGGTCCATCGTTAATAATTCCTTATTATATATAGATGGCCGACCCGATCACCCGAAGCTAATCTAATCCCCAAGTCAACAAAGATCCCAAGAAGAAGAAGCCGAAATTAAACATGGTTACATTTTCCACCAAATCAATCTCTCACAGCACTCAAATTCAGCAATGAGACTTGTTGATGCATCATCGTTCATTGACCCCTCTGCTGAAAATTTTCCATCTCCGGGACTGGCGGAACAAGCTCAACGGCCACCATATACTGCCTCTCCCTCTCCCACGAGGTGGTTGTTCAACCATGGCGGTCTCACCTGGAACCCTATTAGTGTTACGGAGATGGGGACCGCCGAGAATACTGCTTTGGTTGAATATTGGTGTACAGGAAATGGAAAAAGTATTGCCGGTGGTGCATACAGATGTTAATCTTTTCTGGAAATGTAAGTATACTACCTTCAGTTCAATAGAAGTTGAAGTAGGGATTGAACAAAAATCAGTTACTCATCCACCAACAAGTGCTCAATATCGTGTATACAGTGGCGCCGCGCTTCATTTTTTTAAAAAGGAGTTCGGGGATACTTCCAATAGTGTCCAACTAATTATACCACTCTTCAAATTGGCGTCGATAGGAAACATTGGGAGTCTTGTTGTAGAGTTAGAAAAGAGTGTCAACCTTGAGAGGCTTGCTGCAAAGTTAGCAAAGAGTCATACTGTTTACATTTTGCCAGTACTACTTGAAGCAAAATGCAGGATGATGCAACTGAACTCACTATGTGAAGGCCATATTCCCAAATCTAGTGAAACAAATGAAGGAAGAAATAATGTTGTTGAGTTAAATAATAGCATTGATGCCAAAGATGGAAACACTAGTTCACACAAAACCCACACTATCAGCAGGTGGGAGAAAGATCATGGAATTACCCTCCACCTTCTTCAACAACTGTTTGGTAAGAGTCGCGATACTGCTGCTAAAACTCTTGAAGGTGAGCTAACACTACAGTTTTATCATATATTCGATGTGGGAGTATTCTATATTTTCTTAGTGTATACATAGGTGGTTATTGCTTGAGTATATACTTTCTCATAGATACATTTGCTTTTCTTTAATCTCCCATTATATTATATTGTGCAGTTAGCACATCTACATTGAAGCGAGCATGTCGGAACTTTGGCATCAATAGATGGCCAAATCACAAGGGAAAAAGGCTCAGTTGCTCTCTCAATCAAAAACAACATTTACAAGCTGTTAAGAAACACAAAGGAATTCAACCATGTCCTGCTCTGCCTCCTCTACAACCGAAAAATTCAAGGCAATGTAACAGCACAATATCTGTCAAGGTAACCTATAAAAATGATACCATAAGATTTCCACTCTCATCATCCTCAATATCAAATATTTGGAGGAGCAATTGGAAACAAAGTTCAAAATATCACTAGAAAATTTTTCTATCAAATATCAAGATGACGAAGACGAGTGGATTACCCTGACCTGTGATTCGGAATTGTTGCACGGTTTGGATGTGTTGAGATCATGTGGCAAGACTGTAATCAGAATGATGGTCACCCCCAAATCTGATTGATATGTGGATGAACGCCTTCATTTCTTCCTTCTTGGTGTTGAAACCATTCTAGGTTTGTTTAGTGACAGGTTTCTTGTGTTTTCTTCCCTCTGTACCCTTTGTAATGTTTTATGTACAATATAACATACTCTTGTCTTGACTGGAAGTGTAGAGGTTTGTTCTCTAATTTCATATTTTGATGGAAAGTAAAGTGCATGCTATGTTGAGCTAAGAATGAAGCAGAACACTCTCATTATTGATTGAAGAAGAAGTATCAAGAAGGAAACAGAAGGTGATGGCTGCTACTTAAAGAAGACCATGGTCCACAGTAATAACGGTCCACAGTAATAACAGACAAACAAAGGAAAAGACAACTTTGCCCTATTAATGTCCATATAGATTATGAGCTGGACTTGGTTTAGCATATGGTTACTTTGTCACACCCCCGTAAGCTGGAGCATGAACATCTTGAAGGCCCAGCTTAGCATGGAAAGCATCAAAACTCAGCTTTGGCAACCCTTTAGTAAAACCATTTGCAATTTGTCTATGTGAGGCAATAGGCATAAGCTTAACCACCCCTTCACATACCTTTTGTTTCACTACATAGCAATCAATTTCTATATGCTTAGTGCGCTCATGGAAAACATGATTCTCTCCAATTGCAATAGCAGATTGATTGTCACAAAATAACACACAAGGACCATCACAGTGCACATTCAATCTGCAAGCAAATATAGCAACCACTGCACCTCACAAACAGAAGAGGCTAAGGCTCTGTACTCAGCCTCAGAAGAAGACCTGGAAACAGTAGGTTGTTTCTTAGTTTTCCAGGAGATTAGGGACTGCCCTAGGTAAACACAATATCCAGTGATAGACTTCCTTGATTCTGCACAAGTGGCCCAATCTAAATCTGAAAAACCTTGTAGTTTAAGAGGAGATTGTGCAGAATAAAATAGCCCTTTACCAGGAGAACCTTTGAGATACCTCAACACCCTATGAGCTGCTACAAGATGAGAGTCCCTGGGCTTATCAACAAACTGACTCAACTGTTGAGTAGCATAAACAATATCAGGCCTGGTACTGGTTAAGTAAAGGAGTTTGCCCACCAATCTTCTGTATATTTCAGGGTTATCAAGTAATTTGCCTTCCAAGGCTGTTAACTTCTGCCCTGCAGTGATGGGTGTTTGTGCTGGCTTGGAGTCTAGAAATCCATTTTCTTTCAAAATCTCCAATGTGTATTTCCTTTGAGATAGATTCAGACCATCTGAAGTTCTGATAGCCTCTATCCCCAAAAAGAAGTTTAATTGTCCAAGATCTTTTATTCTGAAAGCTGAATCCAGAAACTGCTTTAAATCATCAATCAGCTTTGAATTTGGACCTGCAACTACTATATCATCAACATAAATGAGTAATGCAACAAAGGAGGTGTTTGAACCCTTAGTAAACAGGGAAGGGTCTGCCATGGACTGCTGAAAATCACTGTCTATCAAAGCCTTAGTGAGCTTAGAATTCCATTGCCTGCTTGCTTGCTTTAAACCATATAATGATCTGAGCAACCTGCATACTATTCTAGAATTGTTGGTTTGAAGGCCAGGAGGCAAAGCCATATAGACTTCTTCATCTAGATCTCCATGCAAGAATGCATTGTTGATATCTAGTTGCTGGATATCCCATCCCATTGCAATGGCCACAGCTAAAAAGGTTCTAATAGTAGTCATCCTAGCCACTGGGGAGAATGTTTCAACATAATCCACTTCCAACTGCTGTGTATAACCTTTAGCAACCAATCTGGCTTTATATCTCTCAATAGATCCATCTGCCTTGTGTTTGACTTTAAAACCCCACCTACAACCAATTGGAATCTTCCCTGGAGGCAATTCAGTTAAAGTCCATGTTTTATTCTCAATCAAAGCATCTATCTCAGTCTGTATGGCCTTTCTCCAAGCATCATGTTTAACTGCCTCACTGTAGGACTGAGGCTCAAGAGTGGAAAGGATAGAAGATGCACAAAATCTGTCATTGTAAGTGAGGCCTTCATAAGATATGTACTTGTTTATAGGATATGGAGAAGTTCTAGCAGAATTTGTATTCTTTGTCATGGTATGGCAGTAATAATCATGTAACTTAGTGGGAATCTGCCTTACTCTTCCTGATCTTCTACACTGCACTTGATTGTCAATTGTATCAGTGCTTATTTCAGGTGCATGGTCCTCAACAGTGGCATCATTGTTTGTTGCATTGCTTCCCTCATCAAAAATGGTCTCTTCATTGCTACCATTGACATTACCTCCTTCTGTGTTTGCAGCAGGTGTGTGTCTTGTGTTAACTGATGAAGGAATCAGTGGAAATTCTGTCTCCTCAGTTGCTTGCATGCCTTCATCTGTTTCTGAGCTAGCTTTCCCTTCCTGAAAAGGATATATATTCTCATAAAAATGGACATCCCTGGAGACAAACACATCTTGATTAGAAACATCATATAACAGATATCCTTTAACATTAGCAGGAATCCCTAGAAAGACACACTTTCTAGCTCTTGTCTGCATCTTATTCCTCCCTTGAGATGTAGTGGCAGCATAGCACAAACAACCAAACACCTTTAGATGATCATACTGTACACTTTTCCCAAACAATATTCCAAAAGGGGTTTGTCCACTGATTACAGGGCTTGGCAGTCTGTTGATTAGATAACAAGCATGGAGGACACAATGTCCCCAAAAATCCATAGGAAGCCCTGAATGAAACCTAATGGCTCTAGCCACATTCAGGATATGCTAGTGCTTTCTTTCTACAATTCCATTTTGTTGGGGTGTATAAGCACATGACTTTTGGTGGATGATTCCCTTTTCATTACAAAAAGCTTCCATGAAGAATTCTCTCCCATTATCTGTCCTCAAAACTTTAATGTTTGCAGAAAATTGAGTGGAAACATAATGATAAAAGTTCTGAAACAATATTCCAACTTCTGAATTATTCCTCATCAAATGCAACCATGTAAATCTACTACAATCATCAACAATTGTTAAAAAATACTTTTCTCCTTTTGGAGAAGCTACTGCAAATGGTCCCCAAACATCCATGTGAACAAGGTCAAAGCATCTATGATATGCACATTTTACACTCATATTTTAGGTACATATTTATAATAATTTTTCATTAATTATTTAATATTATCTAATAATTAGTTTTTTTTATATATAATATATATAATATGTTCTTATATAATATATAATATATAATATATATAATATATAATATATAAATACGTACTACGTACTATGTATTATATATATTATAATAAGCTTTGTACAGGTGTGTGCCAAAAGAAAGCTTCATTAATAGGTCCGCAGATTATGGCGAGGCAGCAGTAGAAAGTTTCAACATATGGCACAAAAATAGGGAATCAGTGGTAGAAAATAACTTAGGTTCGTTTTGGAAAGTGTATAAATAGTGGAAGATTTCTATTTTAAAATATTCATTCTTCCCCTCTCGAATATTCTTTAAGGTTGTTATCAATGTCCATTCGCGGCTAATTTCTTGTTTGGTTTAGTGAATTGAAGCCCCGGGGTTCATTACGCTGTAAGGTTATTTATTTATTTTTATTATATATGTTTCTATGCATTTGAGTATTAAATATTCTTCTAAGTTATTTGAAATAATTGTGTCATTTAATTGCTAGGGAGGCCTACTAGTTATTTATTTGATATAATTATTTGCTATATTAGATAATGTTGTGCTACAAATTACTCTAATATTCAGTAGCAACTGGGTTAATTATTGACGGCTTAGTGATAATTGGACTCGGGTAGAATATTTTCCTAAATTAAATGCAACCGCTTGTGCTTGTGTTATTTAGTTTGTCGGTTTTCCTAGTTCCTATTGCTGCTATTAAATTAAATCTATAGCGCTTGTCTTAGGTTATTTAGTAGTTAGGGGTAATTAAACCGCGTGTGCTTTATTTACCTACAACTAAGGGAAAACAGAAATGAAATAATTTCACGACAAATATTCAATTGCATATTAATTACTTTATTAATCAATGATCAGTGTTAAATTTCGGTGGTGAATCTTTACTAACCAAGGTTTCTTATTATAAGTGTTTTCGATATATTATTTTCACTGTTTATTCGTTCGATTAAATTTCTCGTTTATTTAATTTCTCTTTTATTTAATATTTATTCTCGATATATTCCAAACCTCCCATTATTTCCTTGAGCACAAAAGTTAAACTAGTTACTCCTCGGGGGATCGATCCTTACTCCCGCTACTACGTTTGTAAGGTTTTAATTTGGGAGCCTACGACAGCTCACCAAATTTTGGCGCCGTTACCGGGGAGATTTTCTTGTTTATTTTGTGTTTATTTAATTATTTATTTGTTTAGTTGTTTTTTCTCGTTAATTTGTCCCAAACGAAAATTAAAAAAAAAAGAATTTAAAAAAAAAAATCTTCTCTTTCGTTACTTTTGCATAAATGCTGCAATATATTTTCTTTTCTTTTTTTATGCCTATAACTCGATCTGCTAATAAAAAAATCTTGTCGTACTATCCGGAAATTGAAAGAACTATACACAGGTGGAGGAAACAAGCTTTGAGCAAATTGGAGTTTAGTGATCTGGCTACCAATTCTACCAATTCTGATTTAGAAGAGGAACCCATGGCTCAAAATCGGACTTTAAAAGAGCTTGGAGCTCCAAATTTGGATCAGCAACCTTTATGCATTACTTTTCCCGCTCTGGACGCTAATATACAATTTGAACTAAAATCTGGGTTAATTCATCTTTTGCCTTCTTTTCATGGACTTGCAGGTGAAGATCCGCACAAACACTTAAAGGAATTTCATGTGGTGTGTTCAAGTATGAAACCCACAGGGGTTACTGAGGAACACATCAAGTTGAGAGCCTTTCCCTTTTCGTTGAAAGATTCAGCGAAGGATTGGCTATACTATCTACCTTCTGGGAGCATCACCACATGGAATAACTTGAAGACAATGTTCCTTGAAAAATATTTCCCAGCTTCAAGGGCGGC